AAATGATAAAATACAATATACTTTATCATTTTTTAACTGAAATTAAACTTTCTAAAAATTCAGTCAAGTACAAGTCAACTTTGCAGTAGTAAAGATAAGTTGTTTCCCTAATAATATTATTTTCGAATATGAAAAAGACGAATAGATTTTACTTCAGTGAGATGTTCGATGTGAAAAAAAAAACAATTTAGTAAATAAGAAAATTATAAAATTAATCAAACTACGACTCGAAAAGTAATGACTGATGACAACAATAAGAATTACTTGTCACACAATCTTAAATATATATTAAATTCAGTACGAATATGACTAAAGCTGCACTTTGTGTTGAATGTTTCATAATTATGCTGAATAAACTAGTTTAAATAGAGAAAAGGTCTAGAAACGAGTTGCGTAACTTTTCCGGCTTTTATGAGAGAACGTTTGTATTACTAACTAGCTGCAAGTACCTGCTTCGCTGGGTTTTTATTTGTTCGTACATTTATATGTAATATAGTTTTTTTTAAATATATAAAAGACTTTTTCTCTTCCTCTACATAATCTTTCTCTGATTCGATTTGTTTCCCTATAATTTTCAAGTTGCTCTTCTGTCTGATTATTTCTGTTTCCTTGATAATTTTCTCGTAGCAATGTTAAATGTACAGTACTTCTCTTTCTTCCGTGGTTTCATTTCTCTGCGCCATCTTTTGCCTTTGAGATATGATTCGAGACCGCAAAAATTTTTTATGCTTTGGCATTGTTTTTTTTTATTTTTACTTTTCACACTTCACTATTCACTTTTCACTTTCTACTTTTTTCTGTTATTCGTACACTTTTACTAACGAAAAATTAACTGAAGCATGTGAGTCACACGTCTCCAAAAGCTATCCCCACTACTCACACATAACGGTCCTCGACTATTCGAAAACATTTAAGATTAAGATTACATTATAGCCAATCTTACTCGTTTTCACAGAATGAAAGAATTAGGTCCTCGATTCCAGACTAATTAGAGAATTTTTACATGGGTCTAAAAATATGTTCATTTCTCGCAAAAACGCAAAAAACCGCATCTGCGCCTGTAAATCTTGCACGCCGCTTTATCTTAACACTTCCTTTGTTACTCAACACTTTCATTGTTACACATTTTCTAAGTCAACCACTTTCAGCTTTCATATCTCCCACACCCTTATAGCTTTCCAGACGCAACCACCATAGTGCACGAATGGAGACTTGGGGCTACTACCACACACAAACACCATTCATGTGCGATGTGTAGTTTTGGCTGCAGAGTGAAATATAGGCACACACGTCCATAAATTATATATATATATGAAGAGAAATAACTAAAATTGTATGTGGCGCCATCTGTTATAACATTATGTTATATAAATTTTATATATTTTTTGATTTGATTCACTAACACAAGGTGTGTTTCTGTTTCAACACTTGGTGGTATTCCATCTTTATTTAGTTGATTCCGTTTAGTTGACCGTTTCTATACTTCAATTTAAAAATTAATATGTTCTGCCATCTAATATTTAAATTCGAAAGGTTTTGCTTTTTGTATTTTTTAAAAAAAAATTTGTACGAGTAAAACTCGAAAAGTCATTTTTGTTTGCAATATTATTGAAAAATAATTAGTAGTTTTGAAACTATAATAAATAATTAGTTTGGAACCAAACAGCCACAAATAATAGGACGTCTGGCCGAGTGGTAAAATATGAGTTCACTGATGACAATGTACATTTGAATTGGCCCTCCATTTTTAATTAACGATACTCTGGTAAACATTTAGTTTATTGTACTTTAATTTAATTTTAACTTTCAAGCCTTTCGCCTCAGCCGCAACCTGGGCCGTATCTACGTTTCTCGGGGCCTACGGCTTATTGAATGGGGCCCCATTTTTTACCAAACCTGTTAACGCCTAGTGTGTTAAATCCGGTTCGAGCTTCTTATAGTTTGTAGAGGCGCGTAAACGTGGGAAAATTTTTAAGACCTTTTTTATTTAAGCGTTTTTCTCGTTTCCGTAAAAAAATTATTATAACGGTTACGTCTACTTAAGACAAAATATTTCTGTATTGTCACATAATTTCTTATGTGATAATACAGAAATAAATACTTGGTAATCATACGCGCAAATAAATAAGTATAATACAACCTTCGTTTACAAGCATTACATCCAAACAAAGATCACTTTTCGGTAATTGCCAAAAATAAAAAATATGAAACACCTAGATCTGTTTAATTAATAAAGACTACTAATTTACCATCACAATTATGCAAATGAATAATAAAAACAAAACTATCAGTGCGCAAAATCCCCCCCGCCAACTACGTCATCGAGATAAATTTGAAACGATCACGTGACGCTAAATCTTTTCTAGATAAACACTAGAAATTTTATACAAGTTTTCGATTAATTCTGACAAATTTAAATAATACAAAATATTTAAATGTGTTTAGCGAAGATTAGTATTTCACCACGAAATTTATGCAAATTAGTCGTAAAAGAAAGTAAACGGACGAGTGTGTAGAATCTGCCGCCAAGGCGAGAAATTTAGAACGATTGCGTGTTCCCGCGTTTCTTTATGCAGCGCTCGAGAAGCGCTTTACAGCGAACAGACTGAAACTGGTTTCTAATTGGCCAACACTGCTCGTGACGTCATTTCGCTACATTCTCGCTGCATAAAGAAACGCGGGGTGTCCNTAATGAATCATCTTGATCTTTTCTATTCATAATATTTAAATTTTTAAATTGTTCTAGGAAGAAGTATCATTCTCAAATTTTATAATCCACTTTCCAAAGAAACATGGAATCATTTTAAAAACTTGTGGTGCTCAAAACATTAACAAGAAGCAAAACAAAGGAAAGGTAAGACTTTTTTTATTTTCATCCTAATTTGTTATGTATTCTGTACATTGATGCAGTAGAAAATAGTATATAAAAGTGTAGAATCCTCATTGATGAATCTAAGAATTTATTGTAGTAGAATGATGCTTCAAATGTAATGTTATTTATTCACACATTCAATATAATACACATTGCAATTTTAATTAAAAGTAATAAGTTACTCCTTCAAATTATATTTATTTCATATCAAGATAAATTATAAACATTTAAGAAAAACATTAGAAGAGAGTTTAAATCATAATATAATAACTAAACACCAACCGTATGCCGAAAATCTATCGGGCTAGTTTTAAGGCTAATTACTAAATCAATTACGTAACCAATTTGGCACTAGAGGTAAGCGTTAGGCGCCATCTCTTATTAACATTAATAATTAAAATAAATAAATTACAGTAGATCCCCCTATAAAACCGTTTCCTATAGTTATGATTCCTATAAAAATTGTGGCATTATCCGTAAACAACGGTAAAAATAACTCCTATAATACGTAAAACGTCATCGGGCAGCCGAACTACTTACCCGCCGTCCGTAGCGCCACGCTACGGAGAGATTTCTATCGTCTGGACAGTATTATATAAATTATATATAAATTAGGTACTGTACATATAATTATATATTAATTATATATAAATTAGGTACTGTATATATAATTATATATTAACTTAATTTATTGTAACTTTATTATAATTAAATATATATTTTTCGCCGTCTAGCGTCACGCTACGGCGAGTTAGGCGACCTATCGTCTGTTTAGTACTGTAATTTTATACATTTCTTGTGAAAGAAACATTTCTTATTTAACGGCCATAAAAATTATTTATATTAATGATGTCTCCAAAGGTCAACGAAGTTTTCGCAGAAAAATAATATCAGAAATCG